GTGACCGCCGCCGCCTCACGTGACCGCCGCCGCGCCTGCGCACCGGGACGCGCGCGCGCGCGGGGCGCACAGCTGATGACGCGACTCACTGGCCACACCCTCCCTGCGCTCTCAGGGGAGAATGGGCGCTCCTGACTGCGCATGCGCACGAGCGGAAAGGGGAGCGCGGCGTGCGGGCAACGGCCTGCGCATGCGCCTGTCGCCTCGTATTCCGCATTGGCGGCTGCGCGCATGCGCAGTGTGGGGCGTGGCCGTGCTCGCGGGCGCCGTCCCGGGGCGCSGGGTTCGAGTGTCGCCTTCTGCCCATCGAGTCGAGGGCGGCGGCGGGAGAGGTGGCCTTATCCCGCACTGTGCCCGTATCGCGTGTTGGYGCTTTTATATTGAAAGCCAGTCTTGCAAAAACAGTGTAGGACAGCCTACAAAGCCCAACAAGTATTTATGTCCCTATATACTGTTCAGTAAGCATTCTGATTGAAGGCTTTAAAACTTATAAAAATCCCACTTAAGACTGTTAAAAGTCCTGCTTAAGACATCTTGCACGCACAGGGGAACAGTCTCTCTAAATACATGCCTGTACTTTAGCCGTTCGGAGGTTGGAGGTATCTCCAAAGGCCACTGGAGGGACCCCTCGGCTACCTAACATGTCCTTGTGCCTCTGCGAACGCCAGCTTCCTCTGAGGGTACGAAACCTCGTCCCTCTCTTTGAAAGATGATGCCAAAGGGATAAATATGGGTGGCAGAAATTGAGCAGTCAACAGCTAAGATCAAGACAGGCTGTGCCAGCAGACAAACTTTAGTGGATACATACACACCTATGGAAGGTGTGGATACATACACACCTATACACACCTATGCAGCAATGCATCATGTCTATGTCCTGGCCAAAGCCTTGGTTTCCATCCTCGGGAAAAGCCCTGGTTTCCAGTATAGGGGAGGAGAAAGGGTGCTTGGCTCTGCTTTGATACTCAGACGTTGCATTTCAGTGCTGCTCTGATGATCGGGACTGCAGTCTGTCTGCAAAGGATGTTAGGCTTTCAGAAGGACATCTCCCGGTTCCTTGAGAATTCCGCTGTTTACTGTAGAGAACATCTTTATAACAGCCTCCCTGCTTTCCACACTGAGGCCTCTGCCTTTTCTGAACACAGCCGGTAGTGGCACAGCACACACCAGTGCTGCACAGCACCTCCCTGCCCCAAAGCAGCAGAAGGGATGGGAGGGGATCCCCTTCTGCTGAACAAAGCAGCAAGCCCAGTGTGCAGGGGAGCAGAAGGCCCTGAGGGTGGTGGGAACAAGATTTTGGTCCCTTCAGAGCCCCCCAGTTACGCTGCAGGTGAYAGGGCAGCTGCAGAAAGAGGCAGAGGAAGAAAGAGAATTCGTCCCAACCCTGTGGGGTTTCTGCAGGCCCCCGCTGCGGCACATCCTCAATCTACAGAGCTGGGTTTAGGCACCCAGGCTGGGCTGTAGCAACAGGCGGTGGGGATCACCAGGGCCAGTGCACTTCTACACGCAACCATAGGCCTTGTGCCTGCCACTGCACTTAGGCTGCTGTGGCTGGATATTTTTAGTGTTATTCCCCACACTCATGTTTTCAGTTGACCCACTGTCTCCTACTTTATCTCGTTCTTTTCCTTTGTGCCTGATTTAAAACATCCTATGGCACATTGCCCCCCTATTAATATATGTGCTCACTTTGCACTCTGCCCTTTACCATGCTGTGGGCCATGCTGATCTCTGGGGATGACGTTGTGTTCACACATTTCTGCACAGCCTATTTAATTTTCCCATTTAAATGGTGCCCTCTGCCTATAAAGTTTTTTGCTTTCCTCCCTGTAGAGTGGTTGGGAGGTGGAACAGGGAGCCTGGGGCCATGGTGTGTTGATGGCCCACTTAGGGTCTGAAAGGCATAGTCCTTGCAATAGCAGCCTTTAATCCTCACAAGAGACAGGCAGGCAGAGCCCCTGGGTATGTAGAAGGTGTTTTAATGCAGGAGGTGGGTAGTTTGGGGAATGAAGATGTTTGGCTGCAGGGAACCTCTGGAGCAGGGAACAGGAAACATCAGGAGTTGATGACCCATCAGGAGGCTGGAAGGACACAGGCACTTTGTGATTGCAGCCTTTTAGYCAAAAACCTAGGCACGGTGTGAGGGGAGAGAGCTGTCCTGAGAGCTTAACGCGGAGAGAGGGGAGCGGGTGGGAGAGGAGCCCCTGCCTCACTGCGGAAGGGGAAAGGAGAAGGGTTTGCTGTTGTGAGGAGCCCCTTCCCATCCTGCGGGAACCAGCCTCTCTGGTTGGTGCCAGGCCTCGCTGCCTCCCAGCCTTAGGACAGCTGAGCTCGTCCAGCCCTTACAAGCACAGGGAGCCTTATGCTGGGGCTGGGCAGCCATGGGGAAGCTGCTTCTTTCTAATCTTGGCACCTTACTGACCTCTCCAGGAAGACACATCAACATCTCATTACATCCCTTTTGTCCATGCAGTCCTCTCCGGCAGCTCAGCATGTTTGTGGCTTCATAAGGGAAGGAGCAAGCCAGACGTTTGATAAGGGCTGAACATAGAGCCCTAGATGGAGAAACATCTTCCAGATGGAAAGGCACTCGGCACCCTTGCACAACAAGGCAGAGTGTTTTGCAATCCTAATGTGCATGGTGTTGGGAACATGGGCACAAGGCTTATTATATGGGACTTATCATCATGCAATGACACAACCAGATGCACCTTCCTGTTCTGTTCTCCGAACAGTAAGGACACAGTTCAAGTGGGCACAGGCCCTGTCGCTGTTGGGGAATAGCCACATTGGATAGTGGTGTAGGGCTGTGGGCCACAGCGATGGTGACACTAACAGACGCTCACGTGGCACCATCTGTGTGTGAAACAGCTGCTGCTCAGAGGGTCTCATGGAGGGACTCTCAGCCAAGGGAGCACAGCAGGGATTTGTGTGAGTTTTCCTTCAGAAAGTTTCAAACCAATGTGCAAGGTATCCGTTGGCGTAAGGGTCCAGACTAAATCCGACGTGAAGAAAATGCACATCACAGATAAYGGAGATGTGAAAAGTCTCAGCGCTTCAATGTTCTGATCTGCTTCTCTTTTATCAAGTTACTTGGTAATACAGCCATAGCCACAAAGGCTCAGGATAAATGTGGGGAAAGTATGAAGAGGAAAGAACCAGAGAGCTCATTCATCCTGTTTCCATCCCTGTGGAATCAGGTGCTTTTATGATGCTGCCAGGGAAGGTGTGGGATGGTGTATATCCCAGGAGGTCAGTCCCCACTTGGTGGTGAGTGCTGCCATACTGACAGAGCAGCACCCAGGGGCTGGTGATCTAATTCCATGTTATCCCTGCACATCATGTGAAACAGGAAGGAAGAGAGACTTTAGAGTCCACCGTGCAGATCAGATCCTGTGGAATGGGGAGCACTACTGATGTCATTATTGGCCAGTTACAGATATCKCTTTTCAATTAGTTGTATCCAATACATATGCTCATCTACAAGTTTGGCCTATGCATACATTTTTTTTCCAACAGAAAAACAAGGTTAATTAGAAGCATGATTTTTCTTTTTGCCAAATAAATCGTATCAGTAACAATCAGTGTGGATGCAACCACGAGGTATATCTTACTTCTGTTCTTTTGAGAAATCAGCATAAATACTTCATAATACTGATTTTACTACAAGCTAAGACCTTGGATGGATGTTATTCCAGAGATTTTTGCTAATGCAAGTTCATTTATATTCAACAAAATAAGCCCCCCAAAATTCCCATTCACAGTATTTTACACTGAGGTGATTTGCAATGTCAGGATTACATTTCACCGAGGGCTACAGAGACATGTTACTGAGATGAAGCCTCAGTGTGTTATATCTGTTAATCTTTTAGGGCAAGGAAGAAGAAAATGTACCCAGCTTCTTAAGAATAAATATTAACATTTTACATTTTCAATTTGGAAACTGAAGTCTGATATCAGGAGTAGAAATACGAATATACCATAGTTAGTCCAAAAGAAWCCCAACTGGCATTTATTTTGTAATTGTAATTCATTAAGGCCCTCAAAGGATCTTCTTCTGACCCTTATGCTATCATAATGCAAACTTACTTCTAGGAAAGATTTAAATAACTAATATTCATTAAATTAAATTCCAAACAAAACTGTATGCTGTGTTAAAACCACTAATTTATAAAGCAAACTTCTTAAGGAAAATGCATCAGCTGCCAAATAGCTTATGTTAGTAAGCAAATCTACATTTCCAAGTAAAAATAAGCTTTAAATACAAGTCATCTACTTAGAAATTAATGTTAATGTCCATAGAAAGAGATAAAACTCAGCAATTCACAGTAGAAAGTGGAGAATTCAGGATAATAACCTCAATTTTCTACTTACAGCTTTATTTCTACATTACAGGGATGTGTATAAAGCAGTTTCATCTCATGCTTGTGTCCTATTATGTTTAAAGATGAGGGAAATGCAAAACTGTGACTGTAAAAAGGTCTTCTCTAGAAATTAAATGTTTTTTTAATAGAGTGAAATTTTATGTTAATATATGTAATTACACTAACCTAGATCTTTCAGTCCTCTATAAAAAAGAATGTGTTCTTTAAGAGTAAAGCAGATTTTTCATTAATTTTCAATTGTTTAAAGTTACCAATGTCCAAAGCCTATATTGCCTTAGCCAGAAAACTATGATTATTTCCTTCAAAAAAGAAAACACTTGTAGAATGAACCACATTTAAACTATACTAATACATTTTGTCGAGAGTATGCAATGTGTGGGCTAATTGTGTGGCTAACAAACTTTCTCTGGATTCAAATCCAAGTTGGGTAATGAAAAAGAAAAATCAGGGACATGAATGCTGTGGAAGTACACCACTGGAAGTACACAATTCAAAATGCCCTTTATACCCCTGGGTTTTCCCCGTAGGCAT